CTTAAGACTGGAAGTGAAATTGTAGCAAGGCACGGGTTCTGGTGATACCAAGTGCACTTGTCTCATTCAGACTGAGTATACTACTACTGTGAGGCTGTGAGATCATTAGCTTGTGTCAGGGACAATTTATAGAAGTTACTGGATCCCATATGGCTCAGTAATTTCTTTCACCTTTTCTAACTCTCTCAACCATTTCTCCTTGAAGCAGTCACTTCTCTGAAAGTGGAATCTCCTCAGCTTAATATTAATATGCTCTGTTAGCAGGAAACACCAAATGGGTGGTCTTGCCCATTTTAGAGTGTACTTAATGCTTTCATGATATTAAGAGACTGATTTTGATCTCACTTCACCATACTGACTTTAACCATGGTGCAGATGCTTTGATGTCTAGGGAGTAATGCTCGTGTAAATGGTGTAGCGAGAACCATGCGCAACTCATGCTCGTGCACAACTGTAGGTCTTTTAAGATATGCTGTGATGTGGGTGATGCAGGGGAGTCTCAGGTACCTCTGGATGCCCTTGCTCCAGAATTTTAAGCAACACTGGCACATTAGTCCGGGTTATACAGGCTGTATATGCCTGCTCTGCTGCGCTACTATCCAAAGGACCAGAGTGGCTATCTATGTCTAGGGCTGCAGGAAACAAGTGCGATGCTGCATTGTGTAATACAAACACCCCTAAATGTTGCCAGTTGGAAGCACGGGATGTTTTAATTTAAGGCTGGTGGAGGTGGAAAGTTGATCCAAAATAACTATTCCTAAATTGTTCATGGTAGAGGAGCTTTTGTTCCAGAATAAGAAGTCTTTAATCTGAATATCTAATCTGCTTTTAATTAATTCCATATAGTGCACTTGTATTCCAGAATAAATACTCTCACATGGGAAGATAATCAAGAATTAGTACTGAACTTTGAATTCACAGCCTGCTGTCTTCCAAATTAATTTCCTTGTACTGATAAATCCTTACAGCTGGACAACTCCACAAACAATAGAATGGGACCTTTTTTTGGCATGTAATCTCTTAATTCTCACAATTTGAGAAATAACTTTTTGACTTTGCTATAGGAATGAGGTTTTGGGCTACTTGTACTTTGACTGAAATGTGCTATTGTCAGTTGACAAGTTCTCAGGTATATTGGCCTGCCAGCAGAACATAAGTTGCTGGACTTGGTACGTCATATGTTATTGCATTCCCATTGTACACTGCTTTGGAGATCAAGTCTCATCTGAACACGGCAGTAGCGGCTTGCCCAGTCATCCAAGGCTGTTTATCCTGGATGACCTCGAGGTTGCAAGAGAGCCTGATTAAGCTGTTACTGAGAGCTGCAAGGATACTATCAAATTGAAATCTGTCAAAGAGCTGATGCAGACAGGGATGTTGTCAACTTGAGTGCAGATTTCACATAGTGGGAAAGATAAGAGAGTTATGAGTGGATTAAGTCTTTGTTGCTTTAGGACCTATTTGACCTATACTAAGCAGCATAGCCATAGAATGTTTTCATACTATTGTTTACATATACACACCTAAACACGTCTCTCTCTTTCCCACCTCCCAGTATCCGAGTGTACCTGTGTGTCTGTTGTGTTTAAAAGTTTGAAAAGGCTAAATGCTACAAAAAAAAAAGGGGGGGGGGGCAAATGTCTGAGTATCTTTATCTTCTTCACTTAGTGTGTGGTCTGGGCCTGCTTTAGTAGATGCTAACTGCATGTTGCATGGGTGCTACCTTGGTGCTCGTCATGATATTGCTGGAGTGATTCAGAAAACTTCATGACTATCTTGCTCACAGCCAACAGTGGTAATGATCTGTTGTACAGCCTAGGAACTGAAGTATAAAGAAAGGATTAAAAAAAATCTATTGATTTCAGGTGTTTGATTTCAGAAAACCCCGTTCTCTTCTCCCACTTAATCCTCAGTTCCTCTCTGCTATTTTCTTTTCAAATGGGAAGTTTTCTTCCTCTTTCTGCATGACTGGGATGCTGGCAGTAGGATACTGGGAATACAGAAGAAAGAATTTTCTTGCTTTCAGGTCTAGTAGTAGGCAAGTCTTCAGCATACACAAAGAACAACTGAAAGAAAAGTCTACCAAATAGATATGGTCGAAATTAATAGAATTTGGGGGAACTAAAATCTCCATATCGTAGCTAGAACAGACATGTTTCTGAGGACACAATATAAATGCACATATTTGTTCTGACGATAATTATAAAGCAAGGATTTCAAATTTATATTAAGCCAAACAACCACTTAAAGGAATATAAAGTCACTCAGGCATATTCCCTATATCTGCTGTCCTTCTGAAGTGGAATTGCAGGCTTTTGCTTTGTGTATCAGTGTGAAGTGAAAACTTAAATCTTTAGAGAAAATGTAAATAATAAGGAACAGACATTGCTCACATTAACAATGGGGGACAGGCAGGCACTGTCCACTGAAGCTAAAAACTAGTCAAATGCATGTATTTCCTCTGTATCATTTTGGAGTATCAGAATTCTCAAACTAATGAAATAACAGTTTATAGTTGAGCAAGAACCATTTCTGAGCATTGACTATCTAGAGCAAAAATAATGTGTTCTCACCTTGGGAGCCAATACATAGGTTAATTTCAGGGTTTTCAGAGGGCTGACTTTCCTTGAAACTGCCTAATTTGAAATCTGTGGTGTTAAATCCTTCATCATTAAGCCGATTCCTCAACTAATTGCCAGATTTGAAGGGAATAACATAGAACGCTTCCATTAGTGCTGGAGTACCTTCTTTGGATGTGTGTAATATCTCTAAAAAGAAATGATAGGAAGGCAGTAGCTAACGAGACCAAGTTAATCATGCTGTAGTCTGACTCAAAAGTATTTAGGTATCAGACTAACCTAAACCTGGCAGCAAATCCATACTCCAACTTAACCTAAACCTGGCAGCAAATCCATACTCCAACTTCCTCATGGGAGGGTACAGATAAGACAAGAGTCAAGGTAAAATGGGCACAAGTTGCAGCAAGGGAAATTCTAATTAGTTAATAAGAAGACATTTTAACTATGAAGGTAGTGATGCATTGCAGCAGGGGCCTAGAGAGGTGGTGAAATCGCCATCCTTGGAGACGGTCGTAACATGACCGGACAAGGTCCTGAGCAACCTTCTCTAATGTGGCCCTGCTTTGAGAGGGAATAAGATGCCCTTCAGAGGTCTCTTCCAAACTTCTGCGATTCTAAAATACACAATGTTAGCATACTTAAGATATGTGTAGAGTCCGAAATAAGAAGAGAGAAACTGAAATTCAGTTAGTTTCCAAAACTTTATGTGTATATTTAAAATATAAATCATTTAGAATATATTGTTATCAGATTTATACTGACATCAATTCAGAAAACTTCACTGAGGTTAAGGGAGATGCTTCAGGTATGTCTTGACGTAAATGAGACAAGAATCTGTCTTTCAGCTGTTAAATAGCTACAGCACAGAAAGCTACTTTATGGAACTCATTTTTCATATCCATCATATACATACGCTGAAATTCTGAATATCCAAAAGAAAGGTTCTAAGCTCTTTAGTGAACTAAAGAGGAAGAAAAGGTGTTTTAGTGTGGAGCGAATGAATCTTGCTTTGGTTACGCTGAACTTTGTGCTCTTTGCCTTCAGTCCTCTACAGTGGAGTTAAAACAAAGGGCAGCAGTACAAGAACAACGAGGTCATTAAAAATACTTAGAAATAGAATGATAAAGTTTAGAAATCCGGACCAAAAGTGCCTTTCAGACTCAAAAACGCTCAAAAGGGAACCCGAAGCAAAGCAGATGTTAGTGTTGCTAAATCCCAGCAACTGTAGAACAGCCAGAGTAACTCCATAGGTCAGGCTGCTCGTCATGCTAGCACTTGCAGGGAGAAAATGCCACAACTCCAGCTTTAGATCATGTTTGCATGGTCTCTTTTTTCAAGCTTTGTATTGGAGGCTAAGAGTTAGCCCTTTAAAATGTATCAGCAAATGTGTTGTGTGTGATTCTCTTCAGTGAAACAGGCTTTGAATTCCCAATGCATATTGGACTTCCACAAATGACTGGTTGCATCTGCATTCTAATTTACTAATAATAACGGGCAAATACACTGGTGGCATTGTTTAACTTATCAAATCCTTTTTTTTTTTTTCTTTAGCTTACCTTCAGTCAAATCAGGTCATGGGCTGGGGAGAGAAAGCAATTGAACTACGTTCTGTGGAAACAGGAAATCTGGAAGGAGTATTTATGCACAAGAAAGCACAGAAGCTAAAATTTCTGTGTGAAAGAAATGACAAGGTACGGACATCACTACAGTGCGGTGATTTAGCAAAAATGAGTAATAGTTGACGAAGAAACTAAGACCATTTAATTTTTTTAACTTTGTGTTTACATTGCCTATTTCTTACCTTAGTATAAGTTTTCCATCCAAAGCAAATGTAGTCACTGACCCCCACAAACCGTTCACTGTAAATATCCTGCACTTTGACAGAGTCCTTGTGCAGCCAGCTCTTTTATGACTCCTGTTGCACCTAGCCTTCCCAGATTTCACATGAGCTGGCCAGACTCCAGCTCAGCAAGTGTACTGGAGAGGGATTATTATAACGCCTGTTATATAACATCTGTATTATAACGTCTGTATTATTATAACGCCTAACTACAAAACTCTCTCTCCTGCACTACTGAAATTACATGTGATTCAGAGCAGCTATCAAGAAAAAAAACACTCTAATAGTTGAGATATCACAAGCACTGGAGTACAGATAATCAAGTATGATTTTTTGCATATGGCATGGCAGCGCTTGATAAATGTTTATTGATAACCTGTTTAGTCCCACTGTTATATTCAGAAAACTGGGCCCCAAAACTGTTTAGATCAGTTAATTTTGTTTTAAATGTGCTCTTATGTCTTTCCAAATAGGAAAAAGGAACATACCAAAAATATATCATACTTGTAGCACAAGGCACTGTTTTGCTTTTAAAAACTTTCTTATGGAATTAAAATTGAATTGGAATGTATACATCATTGTATTTGGGACAGCATTGTTCTCTCAGATTTCCTATATGGGTAAAAGTATTCTCATAAATGTAAACTGACAGCTTGTCTTTTTTTTTTTTTCTTTTCAAGGTGTTCTTTGCATCTGTACAGTCAGGAGGCAGCAGTCAAATTTACTTTATGACTCTCGGTCAAAATGTACTATTCAACTGGTAAATCGCATCAAAATGAAGGATGCTTTGACATTCCCTCTAGATAGCAGTGTAAAACGCTTGGAGGATATACACACAAATTTGCACTTTTTACCTACAAGAATCCTGACATTATGAACTTATCAAAATTCATATTCTTTCAGTTTGGAAAGAATTCCATTTTCCTGTCAAATTATTGCAAACATGTTTAGTTCTATTTTCTAAAATATGTTGCAAACGAAGACTGTATTCACAGTGTTAGCAAAGAACAACTGTAATGAAGAATGTAGTCAGTATAACAAACTCCTGTACTATGAAAAGTGTACTTTTTTTTTCTTTTTTTACAGATAGTGTAATACAGTTAGCCTGAACTGAAGACTTTTTTGGATGGCAACATCTGTACATAGACATAAAACATACAAACATATTAGGTGACAAACTGGAATCTACTTTATTTTGAATTTGTTTTGGTTTGCTTTGCATTTTAACAAAATTGTTACTGTTTCACCAAAACACATTTCTCCAAGACTTCTAATCAATGGAAGAGCAACTGGTCTTTAAGGGGCCTAATGCAGATTTGGACACCAAGGGATTCTATCTTGTCCTAGGGTAAAATAGGTGCATTTCATGACAGAGTTGTAAAAGCAGCTACTCTAGATGTGTGCCCCACGTGGTAGATTTTATAAAATACAGGGGACAGTCTTCATGTTTCTCTCAGGGCGGGATGTCTCAGCCTTTAGACACAGTTACTGTAGAATGTATTTGTAAAAATAGTTTAAATAGTAGTCTGTCAGAATCATTTATGCATAAATGCATTATGGACCTAAACCTTTAAATTTTTACTCAAACAAGTGACCCGTACTCATATGAGATGATTTAAAGGCACTACCCTTGTGCACAAGGGCACAGGATCAGGCACCTTTTTTTCCCCCCTTCTTGCTCTTTAAGCATCAAGTCTTCATGTATTTTTGTGTGTAAATATAATCTTTCCAAAATGGATGTCAAGATTAACAAATGTATTAATATAGTTATGAAAATATCCAAAGAGTTGATCTATTATAAATAGAAAATATGAATAATTTCAGGTGCTTTCTATGCTAATTACGCCTAAACAAAGCTGCATCCACCAGTGGTATTGGTGCCAGTGTTTCTGCCATAAAACTGTTCTCAGGGGCTTGTAACTTGGCCATAAAACTATATACATGTTCTGGGATTAAATTGTAGGGTTTAATGCAATCATCATTTAGCTGATTTTTGGATGTGCTTTGAAAAAATAAAGCATCAAATACAAAGTAATACAAAAGAGCTCATTCCAGACATGATACAGTATGGAAGACGATGTATGCAAAGGTGAAATCATTAGCTATAGTGTTTGAAAATGGTTATTTTTTACTTGAAATATGTGATACTGAAAGGTGCAGGGGAAGTGTATTGGAATATCTGGTTGTCTACCTCAAGGATGATGATTCAAAATTAACTAAGAAGGGGTGAAATTAAGTGGTTAGAACTGGTAGCTGTTTTGTACAGTATGTCAAGTTAAGTTAGCGTTAATACATGTGTTGTGACTGACAGGTGCTCAGATTGCAACCATCAGCTCCAGAACTGGTATTCTTGTATATAACTTCAGCAGAGAAGTCAAGGGATGAATCAAACTGGGGACTAATCACCATTTTCACTCCCAGTGGTGGCACCTCCACTGCTGCAGGGCAGACTGGAGATGCCTACACTGATGCAATGTTCTTTGGCTACATGGAGGACTGCACTTTCCAAAGTTATTAACCTAGCACTTTTCATGAGCACTAGTTTATCTACAAATGTGGGGTGTTTTTAATGAAGTATTTTCCTCTTAAATGTTTTAACTTACAAAAAATACAAGCCTAAGGACATGCTAAAAAAATACGTGCAGTTGCACTCTCAAAGTGGATTATAATGCATGCAAGCAATCAGTTTGTGCACAGACTTAAAATCTGAATAGTACACCTATGCCCAGGAAAAGCTGCATCAAATCAGTAGGTCTCTATTTATTTGTAGTAGTGTTCCTGCCTGTTGCCCGTAGGCTGGGGCAAATAAGCCAAACAGAAACATTTTTGCCTGGCCTAGATTCCCATGCTGCTGAATGTAGGGCTTGTTTTGTTCACCTTTCACCAAAAAAAAACCCCTTCAACAGAAACAAAGGTGAAAGTTACAAATACAAACAAAACATAATTTGCTAACAAACAGAAATACAGTTTATTAGCTTTTGACTTAAAAATTCTAAGAGACTGTGAAGAAAGGACAGCTTTCATTTTGTATCCAATGGGTGTACAAGACTTGTTTTCAAAACTGTTCTTGCTACAAACAATCAGTGATCCAGGCTGCCATATAGTATTTTTAAAGGTGTGCTCGTCATAGCAGCCTCTGCATTACATGGGAGGCATGTGAATTTTTTCTCCTCTCGTTTTGGGGTCAACAGGTAGGAGGCAGATTTTTCCAGATGCTAGGCACCAGTTCAGAAGAATTAGCAGAGGACAGGGGAACTTGGAACAGCCTATGCCAAGAGACTAAAGACGCAAATGTAATTAAACTTATATATACACATACATACACACAGTATTGTAATAAAAAAATGTGACAGTAAATTGAAACTGTAAAACTATTTAGCTCCACACTAGGAAAAAAAATGAGTCTGAAGTTTGAGGGAGGGAATGTGCATTTTTGCATTAATTTAATCTCTCGTTCCGTTCCCGTAAGTTTTTTTCCAGCTATGATTCAACGTAGTGAGTTAGATTCTTTTTTGTGTGTAAAGCTGTTGGAGCCGTTCAGGCTACATCCACGTATAAATATGGAAACAATCAGGCCCTTAGAGGTAAATGCTTTAAAGGATTTAGAAGTGGGATTCCTAGTAATAACAGTAATTGGGTGCAACAAGAAGAAGGTGTGCGTAAACCTTTCAAGAGAAAAATCAGAATGGCTGAAGATGAGAAGGAGCTCGGAGACGTTGAGAACAGTAATTGGAGTGAGTGGAAATGGCTGAAGAGGAGGGAGAATCTGAAGAAAGTAAAATAGGAGTAGCCAAAGAGGGAGAAGTGGATGTCTGGAACAGTATCTTGTTATAGGAGGGAAAAAAAGAAGGTTAAGAGATGTTAAGGAGAGGAAAGTAACCAAAGAGACAGAAAGGTATCTGGAATAACTGATGGTATGAACGCTGAATGGGAGTTCTGAATAACTGTTACATGCTCAAAGCAAAAGTTTAAATGCTGGAGGAAAAAAAGAATTCCAGAGACCCAAATGTTTAATGCCATAAATCTAACTATGCAAAATGTGCATCAAATTTGTAATCTCATTTTGTGAGGAGTTTCCCTAGCTGTATTCTTTCGCTAACTTTTAAAAGCAAGGAGTGAACGGCTGAAATGGGTGGGTTTTGTTGTGAAGTCACTTTGATGTGAATCAACGTTAGCGGAGAAGATCAGAATATTAAGGATCTCTGTCAACATTCCACTGATATATGCAGTATCCTAATGACCGGTGGTGCTCCTAATATTATATTTGCCCAGACAAGTCTGTGCTGGTATAACATCAATATAGTATTGTACGTGACTGCTTTCTTTTAGGAATGAACTCCATTCTGCAGCCTAAACCTTGACATGTGACTTTAAAAACTGGGAACAATGCAAGCTATGTACTGTGCATCATGTATGTGGGTTTTTTTATTGTTCCCTAATGTTCAGATTGTACATTTGAAACAGTAATAAAAAATAATCTGAAAACCAGAACTAACATTTTGCTTGTAAAGTTCTGTTGTATTGGTATAAGCCTAGTGTAAAAAATCGTAGCAAGTTTTGTTTTAAAATCAAGTCAGTATACCCAGGGGACTGTCTGGCTCATTCTGTCTCTATCTGCCTATAGACATGAAATGAACGTTTCCTTGCAATGGATAAAGATGTTGAGGTGGTGACAGAGTGAGAGTTCAGACTACACAGAATGCTAGCAAGGATGACAGCTGGCACTGTATTGCATGCTACTAATGAGCTTTACAAGTGAGTTTCTGTGCTTCTGCCTCTCTTTACACAAATATCAAGTAGGATCGGGGGCAATGGAACTAGAGTGAAATGACAGTTGGCAGACATTGACACTACAAGAACTGGCTTTTATGCATGTTTATCAGTCTGAATGCTAATTTATCCCTTTCACTTTTTCTCAGATGTGCTCACTCAGTTGTCTTTGCAGAATATAAAGTATTGCTATACCTAATAAGGCATGATAGCACATTGTAACTGTAGCATTTAAGAGTGGAAATTAGGGAATTAAGCATTTATGTCAGTGTTGAAGTTGGAAAGAGCGAGGGCATGAGGCAGGATTTCTATCATTTTTTTACAACGAAAATGAGTGTCCTCCCTCATGATTTTATCTATCTTTTCCAACCTAGCAGAGCATGTAAGTTTCCAATTTTGATGTATGGAGTGGGATATCCACTATATCACAAGTTTGAAGATAACATGGTTGATTGTTTGGGTAGATCAGACTGCTTTAATCAGTCATCATTGTTCTTGCCACTAGAGGTTATTTCTGAGCTTTGGTAGCACCATATACCTGGATTCTTCCACCCCAGTGATTTCAAATGGATTTCTCTCCCCACTCCAAGAGAAAATATATTGAGCTTAAGTTCCAGTACAATTCCATCTGTGGATAGGAGCTTTTCTCTGGTTGTTATTTGCTTACCTCCCTCAAAAATCAGGCACGATTGTAGTAAGTTCAAAGCAGCAAGGATTCTGACTTCTTGCTTTATCAGTGACTCAGTTCTGCAGCATCCACTCTGCTCTTGTCTGAGGGAAGGGGAAAAAAAAAAATCACACCACAGTGATTTTTAACATGCCTTACTAGTGGATTGGGAAATGACGATACCAGTTTTTCCACATTAACGACAAATGAGACATACTGTTTGCTAGGACCAACATGAAAAATCTTGTACCCACCTCTATATATGTGAAAAGCCCTGCAGGTGAGGATCAAGGATTTACTATTTTGAGCTTACCCTTTATTGTTTTCTAACTGTAAATATGTGTTACCCTGATAAAAGGTACTAATACATGCAGTGAGAAGTGCTGATTCTATTAAGAACCTATTTTCCCCTTGCTTTTAATATTGTCAGATTTTGCACTGTGGACTACAGTTTCCATCTTGTGTCCACTATTATCGGTTGATTTGTTTCCCCTTAATTTTATG